AGGCTTCAATCTTCAAGTCCATTGTGGATACAGTTATTGAGAAAATTTTTCAATGCTTTTTACATGCTATGACAATTTATAACATTTAGAGAAGAAAAGTATCTTCATTTCCCCCTGCTCTACTTGATGCAAAAACATTTTAGAATAAAATAAATGATGCATTTTGAAAATGGAGATCTTACGTTTTAAAATGTACCCAAGTTTGTTGCTGTACAATCTTGTTTTACGGAATTGCAACGATTTAAATATTTAGTTTCCTAATGCGTCCGAATGTTAATGCGAGAAATTTTAGATATTTTTCTAGGAAAAGATCGATAATAAATAATAATAACATTATAGTATAAGATTTCATGCTGTTTCTTTGCATTTTCGTTGCATAACATAGTAGAAGTCCACTACGTTATGAAGTATTAGATGTAGATGAATTATAAATATTACATAATGGAGCTCTGATAAATTGAATAGAAATTTACAATGATAATCGACATTATTGCATCACCGTTTCTTTACGCATTATGCGTGATATATATTACTTTGTTCGTAGAACGTAGAGAAGTTGGCCACTTTGTACGCCAGTCCTGATGACGTCGATTTATCTGTCGGGGGAGCATTAGAGAGACATGTCCAAGGACTTACAGGTCCTACGTATCTGTGTATTTTTATTAAACAATTCTATCGAACACGAGTGGGCGATCGTTATTGGTTCGAAAGTGGTGATCACGAAGTAGCGTTCACTATAGGTAAATATCTTATGTTTTCGTTAAGTTAAAGTTCACTCTTATTTTATTGTTGCTTCAACTGTAGTGTGCAACTTGGATTTTTCAAGTAAAATTTTAGCTACAACTATTGCCCATTGAATTAGGACTATTATTTTTCAACATTTTATGCCATTTTAGTAAATTTGGAAGGATTTGAACGAAATTTGATTGTAAATTTTATATTATTATACGTGATATCATTATTTGTTATTACTGAATATTTATTGTGTGATACGATGATTAAAAATTTTTGGGTTTTTAAAAATGTATTATTAAGCTTGTATTGTGAAACAAAAATATATATTTGAAAAACGATAATTTTATTATTATCTTGTTGAAATTAAAAATTAATCTGTGTTTAAATTGGCCACTTTAACCAATTTGACCAATCTAATGATAAAATGGTTCCATTAATTTAGCATATTACAATTCTAACATGTGTATGAGCCTGATATTTAATACAAAATTCATACCACCAATTTAAACATTTAAAACATTGTATCTAGTTCTCCAAGAAAAGATACACCTCATCATCTGAGGACATTGGTCCCATGGCCACACTTATTTATTTGATTTTTTAATATAATTTCGTGGCATTTTACAATTACATTAAAAAAAATAATTGTAAAATACATAAACTATATAAATAAATACCATATATGAGATAAGAGGACAAATGCACCATCTTATCCCATATACGTTTAGATTTTCATAATTTTACCAAAATTACTGTAATTGATAGTTTGGCAAATAGAGAGATACAATGGAATAGATAGATTGTATGACTTGTGTTTTTACAGAGCAATTAAATGAAATTCGAAAATCCAGCATATCCAGGCTACTCTGTGATAATGGCGATAACATCGTAAATATGCAAAAACAAGGATTCAGACAAGTCGATTCGTCGTAAGCTTTCCATTTCTTTTATAACGATATACCTTATGATTCAATAACTATTCCATCCGACTAAGGTTTTTTTTTTGTTTATTTCAGTAATCCTATTATGAGCTGCGACAACATTCCATCCGTAAATCTTTCACTATGGAAAGATTATGCTCCGGAACTAGGGGACCATGAGGAATCTACATTTTTTAAGAGATAAAAATCAATTCTTCCGTCCATAGAATCGCCATTACCACATATCAAGTGATGCCAAATATCAATTTATTAAACACAATTCTGATAATTATTGATCTAAAGCAGATCTAAGCGAAATGTTAGACCTGTCCGAACAATAGTAAATTTTAAATAAATACTTCAAACAATATGAATTATTTTTTTTATAAATAATAAATTAATTATTGTAATTGAGAAAGTAATAAATGATTGAAAATATAAGTAGCAAATTTAGAAAGAAGATAGAAATTTGTAATTTAAAAGATAAAATTGACGTTTAGGAATATCAGTTAAATAAAAATACTTTCTAACGATGTCGAGGACACAGAAGTATCATATTTATATAAATGCTTTCAAGTTTCGTCTCTCGTCGTCGAAAAATTGAGCGATATCGATTTCACACATTTGTCCATAGCTTTTCACAAATACAATTTCAATTAATTGGGAATAAATTAATTTAATCTTTGTCTTCCTTTACAAATAACTAGAAGAAATAATTTTAAAATAATGGTAATTGATAACTTCTCAAAATGCCCAGGTCTGGTGTACAATTGTAAAAGTTTATCTAAATATACAATTGTTGCTTTACATGATGTTGTTAATAAAATAGATTATTCAACTGGAATTCTAATGTTATCTATTTTCAAAGCTCTCCTGAATCAAAAACTTAAAATAATGGACGATTTACAAATGAAAAAAATACAATGCAAGTATACAATGTATAATACTTTTATCTATGAATATTATATGTTACTATAGAAAACGGTGTGCGAATTTCAATATTTTTTTAAATTGAACAAAAATTCATTTTGCATAACTTCCTAATTAAATTTAAAAGAACAAAACTGATTAAACTTGAATCATTTAGATACGATAGACAGTACACTTAAGAGGAAAAAACATGCGTGATCTTACCTTGTTTGTAATCTTCGTGAGATTGACGTTTTCTAATAACGTTTGCAAATAATGAACCGACATATCTTGTAATACCAATGGTTCCCGTTCGTAAACGCTGAAACAATTTACGATATCATACAAATATCGGTATCGACGATAGATAAGAGATTAAACTTAAGATGAAAACAGCTTTTGACGAAAAAAGACTTGATATAGTTCGAGATATATTTCAAATACTTTTTCTTTTTTAAAAAAAAATAATTGTTAAACAATTAAACTGAATATATTTAAAACTGTTTAAGAATATTTGAAATTTCAATACGATATTACAATATTAATGTACTTTATCTTTTATTTATTTATAAATTTTGTGGTAAATTTGGATGTAATTTCTATGCATCGTCGTAAATGATGATGTAGAATATAATAATAATTACAACATTATATACTATTTGTTGTAAATAATAACTACAACTTCATATATTATCGAAACGTCTTAGAATGACGCTCATATCATTATTCGAGACATCATAAGGGAAGAGGAGAAACATTCCGTGATTTATTGAAGTTACAATACTTTAATTTGCCACATGATATTACTATGTGCTTTATCAAGCCACCGTTTATTTGCAATATATTCTAGCATAAAATGGAATTTACGACTTATTCCAACACGTTCAATAAACTTTCTTATCTTACATATGTTTACGACTGTCTGAATAACGTTTCCTATTAAGGAATGAATATCGAATCAATCTCAAACTTTCGGTTCAAGTAATCAACAAATTCTAAACAAAATTCCTATAGAAATATCATTTCGAGTAAAATGTAAAACTTTGTATAACGTTAGAAATAAATAATATTTAAAATTATTAGAATTCGTCAATTTCTACTATCTTATTATTACTTTCTCTTGTTTATTATTATTACTATTAGTACTTATATTTATTTTTTCACTTATTTATCAAATATAATGAAAACTTAATTCGATATCGTCACTTACAAATGATTTCACAGATAAGGAAATCAATTGAGAAGTATATCGGAAATCAGTGGAAATCTTTCATCATCAAAAAAGCTTTGTGAAATTAAAATTTTAATCGAAATAATACAATGTTTGAAAAGTGGAATATCTGATAATATTGTTTGCACTTGTTTAATCATAATATTAATTATATTATACGATAAAATACAAGATATTGTAGATTTGTATCAGAAGTTTGAAACGTTTTATCAATATATTTTTAAAAATTGGAAATAGTAAAGTCTCACAGAGACTTTTGTATTTATTAAAATGTAATTTTAATAAATTTAAGAATCAATTTTAGAATTCTTTTTTTCCAAATAAAGCGATCCAAAATTGTGTAGAAAAGATTTGTTGTTCCTCCGATATTCTAATCATTTTTCGATGAGAAAAGAATTGTTTACGTCTACGATAAATGTAAAAACAAGGTTTAAGTTTACGTAAATACACTATTCCGTATTATCATAAAAATAATAAATTAAGACAATATCAATATTGTAATATTAATATCTGAAACTGAAGTTTCAAAAAATAAAATAAAGATGAAATAAAGATATTAAGTACGAAACAAATTAAATTGTTAAAAAAATCAAGAAATTATTTTTAAAAATAAAAAACTGGGATAAATGTAAAACTATTAATTAAAAAATCATTTATTTTTATTCATTATCGCCATTAGTACAAAATATTTCTGAATAAATACATACAAGTATATGCATTATTACAAATATATAACATATAATATTTATAAAAAATTATTGCAAAATTAACAATGTTACATGCTGAATTGTAATTCAGTTCTATTAATTAATAAAAATGACCGTGTATTATAAAATTGTACTGTAAAATTATTATGTTCAAAGTATAAAAAAAATTAATATGATAATATAATTCTGTATATAATTTGTTAAATTATACAATATATCTGTTTTGTTACTGCCCCATGTGGTTGCTTCTGTGTGTTTGTTTCTGTGAATAAACAAAAAGTATATATCGTTCTAAAAATATTTTTTTATCGTAACAAAAGTGAACAGCTTTCAAGCAAGATTATATTCACTAGTATAATACTGTCTTAAACAATAAAGTTCGTTCCTCTAGATTTTAACCTATAAGGCAGTGTTGGTTTTAAAAACATATTTGCAATTTTGTGATGCAGATGTTTAATGCATTCTGGAAGAGGAGCATATTCAGTTATATTTTCTAAAAGTGGTCGCTTGAAAAGCCGTTTTGCTTCCTGGCGTTGTTCTGGAGTCACAGTTCTATCATCCAGATGTACCAAATAAGGAAACCAAGATATGACGTATAACCTTTTTTTTTATAAAAATATTTATGAAAATAAAATACATAATATGCATATATCCATTGCATACATATCTTATCTACATTATTATTAACATGATTAATGTCTCTCTAATTGTTTTGGATGCTCATACCTGTATTGAAGATAGTCATAAAAGGTACCACCATTTAAATAACTTGGTGCTGCCTTGTTTCCCATAAGGCACAAATATCTGAGGTTAGGTAAGCTCTCATGGAGAGTCTTAATAAATGGATATAATTCTTCTATATTATTATGATTTAACCACAGAAGTTGAAGTTTTGGCATATGTGGAAACACTGTATGGTCATCTATGTTATTATGGTCTAGGTTTAAAGATGTTAAGTTTTCAAATTCAGCCAAAAATTGTAAATTTCTAAAAATGTGACATGGAAACAAATCATATTTTACTATAATTTTTAAGCATAAACATGTTTCTTAAACTTGAGCATTAATTTATACGTGTATAGTTATATTACATGTATAAATATGTCGAATAATACATACCTACTAAATTTATTATGACTAATGTCTAGTGTATGTAGAGTATTACCATAATTTTCAATAATGTCAAATGGCATATAAAAAAGGTTTTCAAAAGCAAGTGATAAGGAATCTATAGATGGTTTATCCAAAGATAAAGACTTTGGATGCCTACAATGAATATCTACAAATATTAGTCTTCCTAAGGAAGTCATGGCAAATTGTTCCACTTCGTTTGCTTCTTTTTGTAATTCTAACTCATCACTGTAATCCAACCTGTAAAAGTTATTTTATTTAATGAATATCTCATATTCTCTGATTCAGAATTAGAAATTCTTTCATATATTTAATATTTTTAAAGATTTTTTAAGAAGTAACTAATAAAATGTTTTAAAAAATTCTATAATATAAAATATACGTATTATATATTTGAAAAATATAATTGATACTATATAATTAAAAATTATCAACAAAGATATACTATAAAAACATTCATTATAAATGTTAGTGAAAGCTTGATGCTATGATTATATATATATATTTCATTTCAGAAAGTTTATTTTATAATTTTATCTATTCTGTTAGCTTAAGAAACATGAAATTTCTGAAATTTACAATTTTGATAATAGTTTCATTCTTTGATATGCTAAAAAATCTTTATACGAGAATAAACATAATAAACATAATAGAAAATTTACATGCACATAAATTCTCGATTATTTTAGAGTGATTAATAACTTACTAATAAAATTTAATTGTAATACTTACATCATGCCTTGACTTATATTACCCTACGGGGCAGTAACTTCAAACTAATAATCAACGCGTTAGAATCATGCAATACTTTCACTCACAATTCACTCACTACACTTATCTATACTATTCACCCTAACATTGGTTAAAGCTACAGCTTGCATTGACAGATAATATTGCGTAAATAGAAAATCGTGTAAGGCTGTAAGGCTTCAGTGTAATATGCAATGCATGTAGTGATTGGGTCAACCATAGTGAGTCTTCCTGTAGCTTAATTGATACTGAGCCCTCATCCGTGAAGGTAGTACGTAAAAGTTATCGTTTATCTGATGACAATTAGCGATAAGATACGAACGAAATCGTTTCGCAGTTTAAACATTATCTACGAGTACAAGTGATTCGAACCAAAACGGAAAACATTGAGGTTAGAAACTGAGCATTATATAATGTTAAAAATGCTAAGTAATGCATTAATGGTACAAAAATATTAGTTATTAGCCAGGATGAAAAACATGAGATTTAATTGAAATAACATGAATTACTTACCGAATTTTCCTGCATATCTTGTTTTCGAATCTTCCTAGAAACGAAACCTCGTATACTTTATACTGTATACCGTCGTGATGAGATAGTGCTGCCAGTTTAAATCCTGGTACACCGTTAATGTGGTCGCGGATCGAACTGACCATTCTGAAATATCGATTGATCGTTTCATTATTCTATCCTACATTTTTTAGTTTCAGTTCGGCGGTAATCATGCGTCCGTTACGTTTTTTAGTGATGCGTGCTAAAATGAATATATATTGCTGTTTAAAGGAAAAAGTGAGGTAACGTTTGTTAAAACGTACATTTTATAAACATTTCAATGGTCGAGAGTTAGAATTTCTATATTTTCTATTCATTTTCTATTAATTGTTCTAGTACCATGAACTGGAAGGATATGTGGTCGTTGGTGCAGAGGAGAAAATAAGATAATATTTGAAAATTTATAACAATCTAAGACAATGAACGTAAGTTAGAACTTGTATATTTTTATCTCTGGCGTGAAAATTGCAATTAATTAAATTAGTTTATGATACAATCAATCCTTTTAGAGCATTTCTGAAAACATGATTTCCATTTACATTTACATTCCACAGTACAAAAATTACGACAAACCTCTTACAACATAGGTAGGTCACACAGTTTCGATAAAACACGGAACGAATAAACCGTGTTATAGAAGGATTGACTGTATCATAAGTCACGAGCATCACAAACGCTACGAGAAATTAAAATGCGTATTTTGAGGCAAAATACCAAAAACAAGAACAAAATAGACATTAATAAATGATGAAATTTAAATAAAATTAATCAAGCATACGACGAGTATACTTTAACAATAACGTTTCATCGCGTGCTAAATGTAATAATCCATGCTAAATAATAATATTTCATATGAATTATTTTAAAACACAGTTTATAATACAATTTCTTTGTATTAATTTATTAAACGAATAATTTAAAATAATAAGTGTGTTAAACAATCTTTCTCACGTCGGAAAGATTAATAGCATTGTAACGACGAAAGAGTACACACATGCCGTGTATATGGGAATAATAATTTATCACAGAGCTGAAGTCCACAGACATCTTTATTTAAAGAGTTAACGTGCATTTAGCTTTTACATAACTCCGCGTGTTATCGGCACATTTCACAGACAGTCACTAACACCATTAATATCTATATGCAACGCTGCACAGCAATATTACACGAATTGATGACAATCGCCGAACACAGTTACCTTTTTGTTCAATAAAACTCACGACCAGCGTGACATTTAAACTCCTGTTGCTTTTGTCTCTCTCTCTCTTTTTTTTTTTTTTTTTT